TTTCATAGTATGGCATCCCTGTCACCTTACTGAGGCATTAGGACCCACACAGACTGCAGGGTAAGCACCCCCTGCTGGCCTCACAAACCCCACTTTAAGCAACAATCTTAGTTTTTCCCAGGAGTCTCCCATCCAGGTACTGACCAGGATCACACCTACTGAGCTTCAGTGGGTTGCCAGTTGCGAGCTGCAGATTGATATGGCTGCTGTCTTATGATAAAATATGGAGAGCTCTGTCAGTGCTAACATATTGTTATGAATTGTTAGATGTTGCCTTTGAGTAAGTCAGTCAGTGCTGACACTCAACTATAACGCATGCTCAAACATTGCTGTCAGCATTTGTTTTGGAATTGAGTGAAAGACATGCAGTATATGCACGATTCCTCTCTTTCTAATCCCTCCATTCATTTACAGATTTCCACCACATTTAATCAGGTCCACTGGGATTAATCACACAGCTGTGCATCTCTGTAGCCCCCTTTCCTCCTGGCCCTACCTTTTCCTGCTTGCAAATATCCACTGCCAAGGTACTGTGCTTTTCCATCTGGCCACAGCCACTCTGCAGAGTCTGTCATGGATTTGGGCAGTGAGCTCCACAGACAGGGCTGTGTGAGGGGATCTGTTCTCCACTGGACCCCAGTCTTCAGCAGAGTAAAAAGACCTGACTCTGCAGAGCTCAGGTTAAGAGCTGGATTATAGGTTAAATTGTCAAGGAGATCTGTACCAAAATGTTAATTGCTTTATGCATGAGCAGGATACGTAAACAAACAGAGACCTGATTAAAGTCATTAAGGTCTTGAGTTGGAAGAAAAACCAGCTGCACCCCTTCCCTTATGATCTTGTTACTTTGAGTGAGAGTGTTGCCTTTAGTTTTTGTTGTGCATAGTTACATTTTCCCTGATGGCAAACAATCCAGTTTTCAGTTTTCCTTATGGATTCCAGTTCAGAATCATTAAACGGAAACCACAGAGCCACTGGTCTCCCAGGAGTGTATACAGGCTGCAATTCTCTGTATCCCTCCTGCAGCAGACATAAAAAGCTTTGTAAAATAGCACAGATTGGGACACAAATCTTCATGCTCTTCCTGCAGCAACACTCTGCACTTATTGAGAGGTAATATACTGTATATACATATTGTCATCCAAATCTTTACTTAGACTAGAGATAGTGTATTGGCAGCTAAGTAGTCTGTCTTTCATTGGGTACTACTACTGTATATTTCATTAAGTATATATTTTTAAAATTATTGTGCTTGCTAGTTGAGGTATCCTGTGTGAATCGTTTTCTGACAAAGGTTATCTGTGGATAATGAGCTCTCTTCTAGGTGTAAAGAGAAGTGCCTGTTCATCACTAAAGACTCTCCACGCTCAGGTCTGACCCCTCTGTAACATGCTTGTATGGAGTGCTGGAGTCTTAAGACCATATCCTGGTGTCTTGTGTTGTAATAAACGTACAGTTTTAAAATTCAATTTAAGCTAAATTACATTTTTATTGAAGTTGCCTGATGGAGAACTACACTGATGTTACAGTTACTTACCTCAATGGACTAAATGAGACAAGGTTACAAAAAAACATCTATTTTGTCTTTACTCTTATTTTTTACCTGTTGATCATATTCCTGAATCTGACACTGATTGCTACAGTCCTTTTGGACAAATCCCTCCATGAGCCCATGTACATCTTCATCTGTAACTTGAGTGTCAACACCCTGTATGGAACTGCTGGTTTCTATCCTAAACTCCTGGCTGACTTTCTCTCTGACACTCATGTCATCTCATACACTGGATGTTTGATTCAAGCCTTTGTCATCTACTCTTATGTTCCTTGTGAATATACCAGTTTAACAGTGATGGCCTACGACAGGTATGTGGCAATATGTAACCCTTTGGAGTACCATGCTATCATGAATACTATGATTACTGTAAAATTAATTTTGATTTCCTGGATTCTTCCTTTGTGTGAGATAATGATTGGAATTGTGTTAACTTCCAGACTGTCTCTGTGTAGATTTCAGATTGACAGACTCTACTGTGACAACTGGTCAATTGTAAAGCTGTCCTGTATGGACACAACTCTCAACAATATCTATGGATATATTTTAGTAATTGCTCATGGTTCACAAGCCTTTTTTATTATATATTCTTACATCCAGATTGTAAGAGCATGTTTAAAGTCTATCGAAGGAAGGATTAAATTTATGCAGACCTGTTTGCCCCATTTGATCACATTAATCAACTTTGCTATCTCCACCATATTTGATGTGATGCATTCTAGATACGGTTCTAGACACACACCACAGACTCTTAACAATATCATGGCAATGGAGTTTCTAGTGATCCCTCCTCTTTTAAATCCTCTCATATATGGATTAAAACTCACTCAAATTCGTCTAAGTGTTAAGAGACTACTGTATAAGAGAAAGGTAGACTCTCAAAACTACTTAACAAGTTTGTAAATTCACCTTGTGAATGTTACAGATATTTGAAACATCACACAAAATGTTTGTGTCATCTGCAAATTAAACTATTGTATTAACTATGTCAGGATCTAATTCATTGATAACTATTAGGGAAAGCAATAAATCTAAAGTAGATCCCTGAGGCACACCATATACATCTGTCCATAGGAAGTATGGAATTATCTTGGATTCCTGTGGCTTTTAATTTAAGAGTCAACCAACACTCCTTCAGTTTTCCTTCTGTGTGGTCATGTCGTTCATATCTGTATTCAGAGATGTGAAAACTGACACAACTGGCTATTCCAAATCAGTTGAGCATGACAAAAATATTCAGCGATATATTCTATTTTTTAAACTTTAAAAACTCATCATGAATAAAAATTGGATCCAAAAATAATGTACCAAATTCCAAATTTGGTACACTAATGTTATACAGTATGTATATATTGTGAGTGTATGTGGGTTGTGTGTATTTTTGTGTCAATAGATTTCATTTCTTTTTTAAAAAACAAAATGGGTTAGTTAATGGATAAAAAGACATAGACTGTTTATGGTTGATAGTAGCTTCACCTGAAATCTTTTTTCTCTGGTGTTTATAAAGGAATGACCTGTCTGCAATTTGAAGTGCATTAGAATATTGGACTGAACTGCAGATTTCTTGAGGTTTTAAATGTGTTTTCTGTTACATGTTAATAAAGGAACAAAGGAATTTCTGAATCAAAACTATTTTCATTGTGTTGAAATACATACTACATATGTATTGCTTATCTGTTAAAATTAAATATGAAGTCTTTAGATCTCCAGATTGAATGGATTAAATGCAATTGTTAAGATGCTATCTTTGAAAATGTTGGATTGTGTAGATTGTCAGTATAATACACATTTCTTTAGAAACTTAACACCAACCCACGGAAACAAAATCTTTCTTAAGTAAAACAAAGAAATTACAAATTCAATCTGGAGATGAGATTAATACTAAACTACTAGACAGAAGTCTGAAACCATACACTGTAACTGTTTTATGTGTCTATTATTTGATTCTGTTTACACTCAATACGCCTTTTGTGTATAATTAGTGTGCTGTTGTTCTTCAGTCACTAATATATTCTCGTCGATGTCTTTTAAAGCTACATTATTCATCTTTCCAATCAAAGCAGAGGCACCTGTGTCTGGCTCAAGTCTGGCAGGGAGAGTGCCCTCTGCAGGGAAGAAGGGATTATGGCGTAACAGTAATGCATTGCTCTCTTCACAGGTCTATCTCTGACACTTTGGTGGTAACATGATCACCTGGTATGCTGGGGACTAATTTTTAGAACCTTGCTGTACCTTGATTATTCACAATCAACATTTAAAACATCCCTACCTGCAATGGAGAATTTATCCAATGAATCAGTACTTACACTGCATGGATTAAATGTGACAAGATCACATAAATACATCTTTCTTGCTTTTACTCTTCTCTTTTACTTACTAATCATTTTTTCTAATCATACATCGATGGCTGCAGTCCTTCTGGAGAAATCCCTCCATGAGCCCATGTACATCTTCATCTGTAACTGGTGTGTTAATGTACTGTATGGAACTACCCCACACTGCTGGACTAGACAACTCCTGTTACATCTGAATATACTCCAGACAGGATAGATAATGCCTCGTATGTATGAATGTCTCAAAGTGACAGTGATGTCTTATTTTAGATATTGGTGATCAGATCCAAGCCTTAGAGTAAGCAGTCGTCATAATATCTCTGTTAGCACATTAGTGATGGTTTCTTGCCTTCAATCAATCTACAAGGAAGCTTTTGGTTTTCATACTTTCCTTTATGGGGAATTCATATACTGTAGGTAGAGTGTTGGTGTTTCCAAACATATTATTTACAAACTGCAGTGTATTCAGTAATCAGGTGCTGGATTTTGACTAAAAATGATTACAACTTTACTTGGTTTCACTGGTACAGTGTGGATTTCACAACAGAAATCTCCTTTAAGGTTCATTTGCATAAACCAGTGAGACTGTGCTCTCTTCTCTGTTACTGCAAAGGGTAGGGAATGATCTCAAAGCCCATATCACGTTCTGCAAGTCAGTCAGTACTCTTTAATCATGTCTTCAGACTTCAATTTGTACACTAGCTTTTAATTCTATGTAATTGACTGTGTTAGTTTGTGACTACCTATCTCATTTGTCGGTTGGTTTATTGTAAAGTGTCTTGAAATGATGAATAATGAAATAAATATTATTATTGTTATTATTATGAACACCAAACTTTACTGTGAAAGCTGGTTATTTGTATGCTTGTTATGGGAGGACAGAGCATATTGTTAATATCACTATATTTTAATCCTTCACACAATCCCTTCTTATTAAATAATAATACATCCAGATTATCAGAGAGTGTTTAAAGGAAGTGGAGGCAGAAGACCTATAATAACAAATTGTATCTTAAGGGCTTTAGCAACTACAATACAGCAAAGTACAAAGAAAGCAGGATTAAAGCTTAGGTTTGGAGTGTATCTAGTTTGAGCATTTGAGGGTTGCATCTAAGTTGTTTGCAGATGACGCTGTCCTCTGTGATTGCTGTCACACACTGGAGATTTTTGCAGCAGAGTGTAAATCAGTCAGGGATGAGGGTCAGCCCCTCCAAATCTGAGGCCACTGTTCTCTCCCAGGAAAGAGCCACTTGTTCTCCTGCTCTCTCCAGGCAGGGGGAGCACAGCAGCCCCAGTGGAGTCTCGCTCTTGTTCATGAGCGGCCAGCAGGTTGGTTCAGTGGCTGCAGTAATGCAGATACTGTACTGAACTCCGGTGTTGAGATGGGCGCCGAGTGTTTGGACAAAGCTATCAGTTCTCCAGTCAATCTCTGCCCCCATCCTCCCCTGTGCTCATCAGGTTTGGTGTCGTGGCTGGAAGAATGAGGTCGCAGGTGCGATCAGTAAGGGGCAGAAGTGAGGTTTCACAGAGGGCTGCTGGGCTTACACTCCTCAGCTCTCCCTGGAGCACCTGGG